GCGCAAATAGCAAGAGAGAAAGAAGAGAGAGAGAGAGAGAAGAGACGGATCGAGAGGACTGATCTACGAGAGGGAGAGGAAGGAGAGGATGAGAGGCAGGGGAGAGAGAGAGACAGGCGAAGCTGGCCAATCACCCTGCATGCGCGTATATGGCCACAGGGAATTTGCAGTTCGCCTGGTTGTTAGATGATTCGTTATCTTCCACCAAGGCACCGATCTTCAACTCCTGCAGTCTCCGGAGCATGTCGTTGTGAGCGGGCGATGTTGATGACCAGTGCGCGCAGTAGTCGGTCGGGAGGTCTTGCCTCTTTGTCTTGCCTTTGCCTTTGCCATGCAGCCCGCCAGCCTTCTTCGCTCTCTTTGGCGGGGAACAGCGGCACACAGTTGCCTGCAGCTTCCTCCTTCACCGTGTGCCTGGGACGCAGTAAGGCTCAATGTCTCAGGGTACGAATCGGCAGGTCACCGAGTCGTCATCTCTGTCTGGTGCACATGCGCCAACTTTTACACCTTGTCTCATTGTTAGGTTTTCTTCTTGGGAGGGCATCCTGATACTGACGTTGGCATTAAATTAGCAAAAAGTTGAATAAGATAAAAGTGAACAAAATGTCAAAAGATTCGGGCAGAACTTCGATGTTTCACTGTAAAAATCTCTAGCAGCAAATTGGCAGGCAAACAGGACCGGAGGCCTTTATATGAGTCAGGGGAGATGGACGCAGAGAGAGAGAGAGAGAGTGCGAGCGTCCCACGAGTGACCCACGGGACTGTTGTTGCACGCTAGTTTGCGCTATATGTGTAGCACGTGCACCCGACGACGAGTAAAGAACCCTGTTCACCGTTGAAAAACAGCCCCCCGGCACCATGGCCGACAACTCGATCGAGACTGTCGCACGAACTGACTTGGAACACACCTACGACCTGCTCTTTTTTTTCCGTCGTCGCGGTCCATCGCTCAAACCATCTTTAATGTGTCGTAGCCTTGTGATCGCACTCGAATTACATGTTAGGGGCATGTTAGGAAAGATCTAAGGAGCGGCCACGACAAATATTTTATGGTCTACCACGAACAAAATTTAGAGTTACGATCGGTAGGTGTGACACGAGATTGCTCTAAGCAACATATCCATACGGGAAGTGAAGCACAGACGTATGGAGAATGAATAGGTAGACGTTAGAAACTATACATTGCAGGGTTTTTTGAAACCAGACTTGATTTGTTTATGTTAATTATTAATTATTTTCATTTTATTTTTGTGCAATGATATATAGTATTTTTATTTTAAATAGCAATATTTTGTTACTGCATGATTGTATCGAACAGTATCATTAGGTATCTCATAATAATATTTAATACTAATAATTCAGCTCCTATTCAGCTGAAGCCAATAGAAGTGATGGTGGAATGTAAATAGAGAGATTCGAAGAGATGTGAATTTTCATTTATGGTGGTTTGGGAGCTTTTAAACATTTATGCAAGCTTGTTATACGCTATTATTGGTAGCTTTAACTAATACATATATAGTATATATTACGTATATATAGTGGAGTATAACATAGGGCCACATGTGATATCACTACTCATGCCGCAGGAGTGTGACGTGTTATTTTTAGTTATATTTTGTCACGCATTGTATAAAAAGAAGTATTTTTTTAGAATACATTTTTTTACTCCAGATTCTATCACATATAATTTAAGTAATCTCATAATAATGTGTGGTCATAAGTTATGCACGAATCTATACTATGTATTAATAGTGATATATGTATGAAGAATGAGACATGAATAGATATCTGATTACCATTGTGTTATTGGGACCGTATAGTCAAGGTGAAGAGTTTGCAATGACGGATGCTCAGAAAGACGATACAGGGAGCGAGGCGACATCAGTTAAGATTTCACCAGTATAAGTTGTTATGACTCGAGAATCGACAGTTCCGTGAGTAGTGATGGATATACTTATGGGTTGGTCATCATCGCCGCGCCGCGATTCCTTTGTGAACGCCTCTACTGGCTGCCAGTTCTTCTCGGCCATCATCTTTCAAATTATCACATTGAAGGGGAGTTATCGCTAAAGCGAAGTACCGCCATATCGTTTTTTTAGGTGTGGGCAGATGTACAATACGCAGCAGTTAGGAACTTTAAATATTATGGAAGTGAAAGACAGAAGTTACTAGGTTTTTGGCTTATGCCGTTGCTACACTGCTGGTGAAGAAAGACTTACAGGCAGGTACAGACATTAAACACATATAGATATATCGCATGTTTCTTGGAAAATGAACTAAAGATATCAGACATACTATCTCAGTAGAGGACTCATACAACTGCCCAGTTGATTATACCAGGCAGTAGATGATAAGTACAAGGATAACAGATATGTAAACAATGGAAGTTTCTAATAGACAGTGAACATACCTCAATTTATTTACCTAGCAGTATCAGTTATGTCTATGTAGTAAGGTTAAGTTATGTTATTATATGTATTGCTACACAATCTGTATCTAGGGTAGTGAGGTACAGTAACAGGTATAGAGTAAAACTTATACAGCACAATGCTAGCCATACCTGCTTATGATACTTGGTTCCAAACACAAATGCAGCATTCAGTTCTTTATCTGAGCCCTTGCACAGCTGCAACATGCTCCCTGTCAAATCTTGCATTCCTAAGAATGCTCCTTCCAATGTATACCTGGCTATCTTGAATCTCAGTTCTGAATTCTAAATTGAATTAAAAATTATTGGTTAACGACTGGAAAACCAGAACTGGTCTAATCAAAATCAAGTAAACACATATATACCAAGAGCCGCAGAGCGTCTGGGCTCATCTGAGGTCTGGTGCTACAGTTATAAACGTAACATTTCAGTCGTGCGTAGTGACAACTTTGTTAGGCGCAGATATGCATATACGCAGTTGCATACACATCATTTCAGCAAACATTTTTTTTATTGCAGAGAGAGAGAGCGAGAGAGAGGAAGAGAGAGAAGGGGGCGAGATAGAGAAAGAGAGAGAGCGAGAAAGAGCGGGCGAGAGGAGAGAGAGGGAGAGAGTCAGTCAGACTAAATTGTTTATAAACAAATAACACCCACGCGGCGCGCTACTGTATCAGTTACGTCATCGATTGAAATGTACATTCCGATTTCGCCGTGCGACGTCCAAACTTTTGACGAAGATGGCGGGCAGAGGTAAGGCAGGCACACGTACAACGTTACGTACAGATTTCTTCAATGTCGGGGAGGATCAACACATTTCGACTGACAGTCAACCATCGGGCTCTGCAG